GTTTACAAACTGGCCACACCGCTAGGCAAGATGCAGAGCGTTCAGAGGAAGAAAGAAAGCTGAGGGCTCTTATAGGAAACAGTACTTTCTTGGGAAGAAACAGCTCTGCATGCTTAGCCTCTGGGTTGGTTCCAGATCGTAATTCTCGAGATGATGGGCGGGCAGTCTGTTCGCTGGATGCCAGGTGGTCTGGCTACATGGACATTCGTCCCTTCGTCCTTCAGGGGCTCACAGAGGGTCATCAGGAGGTTTGATGTACATCTAGATATTGACACAGGACTGGAAAGTCCAAAAGGTTAAAGCAAGAATAAAATTGTTTCCTCTGGCCTCAACCTACTTGATTTTAGTAATTTAGCTGCTTGGCTATAGTGACATTTTATTTCTTTGTGCTATTCCTCAGAGGCAGGGAGGAAACCCAACTTCTGAGCCCAGTGAGAGCTCATATTCTCTGCGCCTCCATTTTTGACTTCATATTTGTTTGTGACTCTGTGTCCAGAAGAGCCTCCTGGGGGGGGAGGGGGTGCTTTTCTTTTTCCAAGTCACCCTCCTCACATCCCTCCCCTCATCATTTGCCAAAAAATTCAGGGAGACCAAGCTGCCGTGGACCCTTCCCCCACACCTTATTGCTAGCTTTTTCTTTTCTTCTATCGCTTCAGTCCTACCCACTGAGAGGTGGAGGGGCTAGAACGGCTGGGGCTGAAGAAAGGAGAAAAGCCAGGGTTCTCCGAGTGCCCGAGTCAAGTGCTGTGCTGGGCACCGCGGCAGCTTTTCTCTGGCGGCTGCGTCTGTGGTGGGCATTCCTCTCTCCATTTGACAGATGAGGTTCAGTGACTGGTTCCGGTGGGCCAGGTGGGCTGCAGGCCCCCAGGGGGATTTGGAGTCCAGATGCCTGAATGTCTGGAAGCCCTGGGCTGTGACTCAGGTGCCAGAGAACATGGCTCCTCCCGGTTCTCTCTCACAACAGCCAGAAATCTCACCTGAGCACCTGAGCTGCAGGACTTCCCCGCTCCGGTTGGAATTCCCAGAGTTGGAAATTCCCACGCCCGAGGCGGAGGTAATTAGGCTGGGCTGCACGTTCCTCTGGGTGGGGCTGTCTGAGCTCTGTCTCCTGTGGGGTCTCCTTAGGACGGGGTCCAGGTACCCCAAGCCCTGTGGAGAGAGGACTCCAGGGAGCAGACCGCACGACCGATGCAGAGTTAATTCCAAGAGACCGAGCTGCTTTTCTAAGCCACTTTATTTCTCGCCACTGACCAGTAGGGCGGTTACAGGCACAGCTCCCCTGGGGAGCAGAGGTTCAGCGATGTAGCGACAGTCAGTCACTAAATCAACATTATTTAGACACCTTGGTCAGATAAATATTTTTAAAAACATAAGCAAAGGGAGACACAGAGACCAGGAGGCCAGGTGGGAAGAGCCTAGCGTTCAGCTCCATTTTCACGGAAAACATGTCTGAGCCAAGGCAGCCCTTGCGCTGGGTCTCCCTGGACACCTGACCTCCCGAATAAATACTTTTATTAGCAAATAAATAAATAATAAATAAATAATAAATAATCACAAGTGCAAACATAAATAGAGGAGCTGGCCCTCTGGGCGCTCTGTCTCAGGGAAGCTTCCGGGAACATTTGCAGAAAGGGAGGTAAGATCTTCTCACGGGATGTCCTGAAGTGTCTGGCCAGAACGAAAGGTTCCCCGGCCCCCACACCCAGGTGTCCCGGCTGCATTCAGGCATCCAAACCTGCGTTTTGAATGCTTGGAAGTGGCCGGTGCCCCGCTGTCCAGGCCAACCACAGTGCGTTCTAGGTTTCTAAGTGTTGTTTAAAGTTTTAAGCTCGGAGCCCAGCCCTGAGCCCCTAGTCCCCTGGCTAACCCAGAGGGAATGGAGTGGTCTGAAGGAGTGGGTAGCACAGGCACTGAGGTGGACGAGAACGGACATCCTGCTGCCTCAAAGGGCAACGATCCCAAAGTAGACCTGCCCGGACTCCGCAAAATCGAGATAGTCAGGCAGGTTGATCTCGGCACTGAGCCGATCACCCTTCTCCAGCCGGAAGACTCCTCCCAGGTAGATGGGCTCGTACCAGGGCATGGCCTCAGCCCCCTCCGGGGTCTCCCGCTGGCAGGGGCTCTTGATGGCAGAGAGGAGGTTGATCTTGTTCTTGTAGGAGACGGCAAAGCGGCTGACGGTGTGAGTGAGCAGCAGGGGGGTGTGGGGGCAGCCTTGGCCCTTGAAGAGGACCTGGGAGTAGATCAGGTACAGCCCATTCAATGGCACCACCAGCTGGTTGTCTGTCAGGCTGACACCGTTGGCCAGGAGTGCGTTGGCCACCTTGTTCTGCCACAGCAGCTGCCCCATAGTTTGCTGGTTTGCTGGAGGGAGGGAGAGGGAGTCAGGGTGACCCTGTCAGTTCCACCCCCACATCCTGGCCCTCGAGTCCTGCCCACCCCCCACATCCTGTTCCTGTCCCCTCTGTCTGTCTTCCCATATCCCATCTGCCCAGGGGGCTCTGAGTATCCCCCCCCGCCCCCCCCCCGCCCCCAGGCCGTGGTGCTTCTCCTCCCTCCCCTTGAATTCAGTGAGTTCTTCTCACAGGGTCTCCAAGGACTGTCTGCCCTCAGCCTGGGCTCAGCTCCCAAACCCTAGCCCTCCCCAGCCCACCTGCTTCTACACCCCCAGACCATCTTCAGAGCTCTTACCTACAACATGGGCCACAGGCTTGTCACCTGGGGTTCGAGAAGATAACCCTGAGGAGGAAAGAGGAAAGAAAAAGGTGAGACCCTTAAATTTCCCCCAAAATAGCCTGCTACTTTGACCTCCATTCCTCATCCCTCCACCCCCAGGTGTAAATTTCCCCGCTGCTACCATCCCAGGACTAACACCAACTCCACCCAAACCCAGACGCAGGCGAGAGGCGTAGGCGACACTCACCGAGGGTCTGCGCCAGCGGGAGGTTGCCCATCTGGAACTGCTGGGGAGAATGAGGGTGCTGCTGGGGAGAAGGAGGAGGATTAGCATCAGAGCAGGTCCCCCGGGGAGAAAGAGCTGGCTGCTTAGCTGGTGTGTCCTCTCTGCCTGCTGTGTCTAGTTTTCTCTCCATCCACTTTCACTCACTCACCCGTCTATGCGACAATCTTTGTTGAGAGCTTTCCAGGAGGCAGACGCCCTATCTTCATCTTTCTGTATTTCTCTTTCCTCCACCTCATCTCCTTCATAGCTCCCATCTCTGCTCCTCTCAGCACCTTCATTCATAGCACCTGTTTTCTCCCTAGCTCTCTCGTGCCCCACAGCTCTCTACACATCTCTCGATATGTGCTTGTCCGCTTGCTCATTCATTCACTCAACACATGTTTAGTGAGCACCTTCTAGGTGACAGGACCTCTCTCTCCAACCTTCTCTCTCACTGATCTCTCCACTTCTCTTTCTGCCTCCCCGTCTTTCTCCAGTGTTCCCTCCCCACCTCTCACCCTCTTTCCCCCCCATTTCTCTCTTGGTGGTGGGGGGAGCCGAGGCTGGCGGGGCACTCACCTCTTCCCTCTGGGGGCCGATCACCCCCAAGTGCAGCAGGCAGAAGAGTGTGGTGGCTCCTGCCACGAGGAGGAAGGAGAAGAGGCTGAGGCACAAGCACCGCCTGGAGCCCTGGGGGCCCCCTGCCTTCTTGGGGAGCGCCTCCTCCGCCAGCTCCACGTCCCGGATCATGCTTTCAGTGCTCATGCTGTGTCCCAGCGATGCACAGGGCGGCTGCGGCTGCGGCTGCGGCTGCGAGAGGGTGTCCGGGAGAGAGCTGCCTGGCGCTTCTCTGGGGGCTGTGTCGCGGAGAGGTCACTTCCCGGGGTCTGGAGCTGGTCTCTCTCCCGTGTCCTCGCTCAGCAGCTTCTGTTGGCTGCCTGTGCCAGCAGCTGCCTTTATAGCCTGGGGGGTGGAGGGCGGGGAGCTCTCATTCAACCAGCGGAAAACTTCCTTGGTGGAGAAACCCATGAGCTCATCTGGAGGAAGCGGTAGTGGGCCCTGCACCTTCAGTCTCGGTTTGGTTTCTTCTCCATTGCGGGGGTGGGGATTTGGAAAGTTGGGGACACCCAGGCATCAAGGATACTGGCCGCCCTCCCCGCCTGGATTTGGAGGTGGCCTTGCTGGGCCAGTCAGTGTTGTGAATGTAGGACCTTAAAGGCTGGACCCCAGTTCCCCTCTGCCCCCCAATTCCCATGGTCTCCATTCCTTTTGGGGACCAGGGCTGTGGCCTGTCTCCCTCTGATTTGCAGGCAGGACTCACATAGGGGCAGCACTGGAGACGGGAGGGGTTTCAGAGAGCTGAGTCCTTGGCAGGAAGAGAAAGGGGAAACCTGCTGGGGGGCTCGGTCTCTGGGAGAGGAGGGGATGGGGCCCCTGGAGGCCGGGGGGAGGAGCAGGGGCAAGTCTGGGCAACCCAGAGGGAGCGAGGCAGCCTGGGAATCCCGAACCCCACAGGCAGGCCTTCTGCTTTCGCTCTGACGGACTCACAGTGCTGTTTCAGTCTTGGCTCCAAAGGCACCCGAGGCTCTGATTTTCGTTTGAAGCCCAGTGTATGGCCACGTGACCCCAAAGAACGCCTGCTCCCTCGGGTCCCTGGAAAGGGCCTAGTCCCAGAGCCCCTGGGCGTGACCACCTCCCTCAAATGTCCCCGGGGTTTCCCAGCCCCTCACCTTGGAGGCTTTCAGGGGACCCCATGCTCCGCCCCATAGTCCCGAAGACCCTTCGGTGGGGTCACTTCTCCCTGTAACCCCACTCCCCACAGCCTCCACCTGTGGCCATATCTGCCAGGGCTCCCCACTCCAGACCTGAACCCACACTATTCCTTCGCCCTCTTAGCTAACCCTTTGGTTCCCTGAAGGGCCTGGCTGCCCCTCCCCCACAGCAGGCCCCTGCCTCTCTGTATGCCCCCAGCTCCCCCCTCCAAGACCTCTATCCTCCCTCCATTCCTTAAACAGCCCCGAGACATCCTTCCCTCCCAGACAGACGGACAGAGCCAGAGCATCTCGCAGAAAAAGGTTTATTGGGCCTCAGGGAGGTGCCGATGTCTCCTGGCAGGTGTTGGGCGATGGGGCTCTTCTCCTAGGGCCTGGCCGGACCACCTGGCCCCTCCAGGGCATCCCGAGATGTCCCCCGCCCCATCGGGTGGGCACACTTATCTCTGTCTCCTCTCATGTCCCCTATTTCTCCCTTCCCTCCATCCTCCATAAATAAATAACTTATTTTTTTCTCCTTATAAATAATCCCCCTCCCCGCCTCCAGACAGCCACCTGCTCCCGGCGTGCCTGCTCCCCTCCCTGTCCCCGCCCTCCCTGTCCTCCAGGCGGGCAGCACAGAGCAGAGCTCTGGGTGGGAGCGTCCAGGCGCCCGGAGCGCAGTGGGATCTGGGCAGCTGGGGAGGGGACCCTGGGTGCCCAGGGCGCCTTCTTTGAAGCTCCAGGTGACATGAGCAGGGAGACCTGAGACTGCTGGAATGGTCACAGGCAAGGTGACCTTTGAGATGGTCAGGGTGGAGGCAAGATGGGGAGAAGGCCTGGAAACCAATTTGTTTTCTTTCTGGAATTTTCTACAGCGCGAAAGCTCCAAAGAAGACAGTACTGGGCCCGAGGAGCAGGTGGTCGATGCCGTCGGTGCTGGTGGAGAGCTGGTCGCCCCGGGCGAGCAGGAACACGGCGCCCTGGTACACCGAGCGCACCCAGGGCCCCTGCGGCCCGGGGCTCACGGACTTCTGAGCGCTGAGGAGGGACACGTGGGAGCGGTACTGGGCGGAGAAGAGCTGCACCTCGTGCGCCAGGTAGATGGGGGCCGGGCTGGCCGCGGGGCAGCAGCCCTGCCCCGAGAAGACCACCTGGGAGTAGATGAAGTAGAGGCCGCTGGCGGGGACCAGCAGCGAGTTGTTGCGCAGGGTGAAGCCGTGGCGGAGGAAGGCGCGGTCCGTGCTCGCTCTCCAGCGCAGCGCGTGCCGGGCGCTGGGGTCTCCTAGGAAGAGCCAGAGGTGGGGGTCAGGGCCCGGGGCCCCGAGGTCTCAATCCCAGAAGAAGCAGGTGCTGGCCCAGGTTCCGGGGTGGTTGGGAGGACAGGGAGTGGGAGCCTGTTGGGGGGGGGGGGGCCGGGCTGGGGGAGGTGGAGTAGACAGCTGTTTGGGCCCTGAAGGGGGTAGCAGGAGGGCCAGGGGCTGTCTGGGGGGACAGGGGGGTGTTTACCAACAAGGTGAGCGGCAGGTTTGAGGGTGCCTTGTGCGAAGTGCTTCTGGGGGTGCTGATGGGCAGTCTGCGCAGCTGAGAGGCCAACATCGGGGAGCCCCTAGGGGAGAGCAGAGTTGGGGGCTCTGGGGCCCAAGGTTCGGCTGGGCCACCCCTGCACCCCCTTCTCCTGCTGTCTCACCTGGGCGGCAGGTGGCAGGGCCAGCAGCAGCCCCAGGAGGAGGAGGGGGGCGCCACGCCCCCTCCGCAGGGAGAGATGTCCCGGTGGTGGCATGGGAGACCTGCAGGGGGGAGACGTGAGCGGGCGGGGCGGGCGCACTGCCAAGTCGGCCTCCTCCCCAGGCGACAGCGCCATGAGACAGGGTGACAGGCAGAGACGCAGTCGGGGAAACCGAGGTGAGCGAGCAGGAGAGACAGAGACACGGAAGGGAGGGGGGGGAGCAGAGCGGGATAGAAGCAGAAACAGGCTGTGTGACAGACAGAGAGAGACGGAGAGAGAGGAACAAACCAAAGCCCCACGGCCCAGGCCCAGGCCCAGGCAGGAGGCGCAGGAGGCGCTGGGGAGAGGCACCGAGGGGCGCGGGGAGATGGGGTGGCAGAGGCTCACCTGCTGTGCGCCCGGGGGGCCCTTTATAGAGGAAGCGGCAGCGGCAGGCGGTTCTAGGCCGGCTGGGCCGGGGAAGCCCCCAGGGCTCAGAGGTGCTGCCTTTCAGCCGAAGGCAGGAAGGCTGAGGCCCCAGAGAACCGCAGGCTGCGCGGACGGCTGGGTTCTGGGAAAGGGTGTGGGGTCAGGGGACTTGTGGGCCGGGAGGGCCAGGGAGTGGGGTCAGGCTTAGGAGTTCCAGAAAAGGACGGTGAATTCGGGGAGCCCAGGGCAGCAGCTGGGTGTGGGCTGGAGGCCTGGCTGCCTGGAGAGCGGTTACGTGTGACAGCCCGGCATCTCTGGCTGCAGGCTTCTCTCTGGGCCCACCGCTCCTCTTGCACCGTCTGTCCCAAATGCTCCAGCCCCGTTGTCCCAGTGTGAACTTTCATGTCAAGTTTCATATCAAGGAGCCTGGGACCCTTGTCTGCTGTCCTGGGAGACACGCACGGTCCCCACCCACACACGATGCTGCATCGCACACCCGGCCTTCCCTTCGGGCCCCCACAGATCGGGTCTCCAGAACCCCCCACAAACACCTCCCGGGATGGAGGGGTGTGGCAGCCGAGCCACCGGCCTTGAGGCTGCATTTGGAGAGCCAGTGCGCTGTTTCAGTGTGAGGGACCCAGCGTCTCCATGTTAGTATGTGAGGGGCTCCTCTTCTCAGGCAGCAGCCTGGCAGGCCTCCGCCTGTTTGCAGCCACGCAGCCACCACCTCAGCATATTCTCAGGTCCCTCCCAGTTAGTGCCCTCCAAGGACAGCAGCCACCCTGACCTCTCACCATCGATTAGTTCTTCCTGCTTGTGAACGGCAGATAAATGAAACCACACGGAGTGCGCTCATTTGTGTGTGGTTTCTTCCGGCACCGCTGCGTGCGAGAGCGTCAGGACGGCTGTGAGGAGGTGTCTGTTGTGTGAATAGACTCTACTTGATTTATCCATTCTTCTGCTGAGGGGCCTTTGGGCTGTTCCTGGAATTGGCCAGCATGAAAAACATTGAACATTCTTGAACATGAGCCAGTTTTCACTTAGCTTGTAAGCTGCAGATTTTAAAAAAAGCGAGGTTTCTAAAGATGATTTTATTCATGTTTCATGAGACTGAACACAATCTCACTCTCACTAATGTCGTAGGCTTCCGTTCGGAGAGTTTTGGAGGGGCTGGTGCTGAGGGTGGGTGATGGAGGCGCAGCCTCCTCCCTGGGTGCCGGGCGCCGGGCCCTCTCCCCTGGCACTGAGCCCCGGGGCGGGGTCCTGAGCTCAGTGACCTCCAGGGTGTGCACAGGGTGCTTTCCGCTCCCGCCGCAGCCTGCAGCGCTGCCTTTCCTGCCGCACAGTCTTATCTATTATTTCTTTTTGTTCTCATCCCATATACTTAGTGTTTTCTCTGTTCCACTAACATTTACTGAGCATCTTGCACAAGACCTTGAGAATACAGGTGCAAAAGACAGGCTCCTGACCTTCAGGACCTCAAAATCCAGAGTGGAAGACAGGGAAGTAACTGGGACATGACAGCAGGTGTGACAGATCCATGACGGGCGCTCCCGGCAGCCCGCAGAAAAGCATGGCGCTTGGGGAGTGGGCTTCAGGCACTAGGCATCGAGGCAGAGAAGATGGCGAGGAGGAGTTCAGACGGAGGGAACCGTGTGTGCAGACGGCAGGGCGTGTGCTGAGCGGTGCGGCTGGGTGCGGCGGCAGGGGAGGAGGTGGCATGTAGCTGAGAGCTATCCTGGGGTCTGAGACCACGGAAAGGTCTGCTTTCCACTGTGATTGTGACGAGCCACCCAAACTGCTAGGTGAGCAGGATCCGCCCAGATTGGTAGTTGGAAAGACGAGTCTGGCAGCTACTTGGAAGTGGATCGGGTGCGGGAGCTGCAGGGCTGGAGGGGAAACCAGAGTGTGCAGACCAGTCAGGAGGGTTCGCAATGACCCAGCAAGTGGGTGACAGGAGCCTGATTTCTACGGAGGCCGCAGCAGGAGAAAGGAGGAGAGTTTCTAGGCAAAACCTACAGGCCCTGGTGGCTGAGCAGGTGTGATGGAGGAAGAGCAGTGGTCACAGACGCGCCTTTAAGTGTCTGGTCTGCATCTCGGGTTCTGCTTTTAACCTCACTGTCTTGGGTCGCCCTTGGCTCCCCCGGGCTCCTGCCCCTTTCCTTTGCTCTGTGCCCAGCTTTCTTCGGGGTCCGTCCTTCTTCCTGGTGTCTCTCTGCCTCCCTGATGGCAAGGGCTGGTGGACAGAGACCGCCGCTCTAGAAAAGTATGAAAGGGCCTCGCAATTACCAGTGAGAAAGAGAAACCGTGAGGTCAGAGAGAAGGCCCGAGCACTGATGGACAGAAAGGGGAAGGTGAGGGTGGTGGGGAGGCGAGGGGGCAGAAAGGAGGAGGCAAGGCCGCGAGGCCGTCACGGGGGCGCTGTGTGGAAGGCACCTCTTCAGATGGGCCAATCTTGGTTTCGATCTCAGTTTCGAGGGAGGTTGTGTGAAATTTGGTTTCTTTCTTGGGGTGGCCAGCAGCTTGCCCGGGCTTTCCCGGGGGGGGGGG